TTAGGGACACAGAATTGTTACTCAGGGACAGACAGAATTGTTACTGAGGGATACAGAATTGTTACTGAGGGCCACAGAATCGTTACTTAGGGCCACAGAAACGTTACTTAGGGCCACAGAATTGTTACTTAGGGACAGACACAGAATTGTTACTGATGAGGGCACAGAATTTGTTACTGAGGGCCACAGAATCGTTACTTAGGGCCACAGAATCGTTACTTAGGGCCACAGAATCGTTACTTAGGGCCACAGAATTGTTACTTAGGGACAGACACAGAATTGTTACTGAGGGACACAGATTTGTTACTGAGGGCCACAGAATCGTTACTTAGGGCCACAGGGCCAACGTTACTTAGGGCCACAGAAACGTTACTTAGGGCCACAGAATTGTTACTTAGGGACAGACACAGAATTGTTATTGAGGGACACAGAATTGTTACTTAGGGCCACAGAAACGTTACTTAGGGCCACAGAATTGTTACTTAGGGACAGACACAGAATTGTTACTGAGGGACACAGATTTGTTACTGAGGGCCACAGAAACGTTACTTAGGGCCACAGAAACGTTACTTAGGGCCACAGAAACGTTAGTAGGGGCCACAGAAATGTTACTTAGGGACACAGAATTGTTACACAGGGACAGACACAGAATTGTTACTGAGGGGATACAGAATTGTTACTGAGGGCCACAGAATCGTTACTTAGGGTCACAGAAACTGTTACTTAGGGCCACAGAAACGTTACTTAGGGCCACAGAATTGTTACTTAGGGACAGACACAGAATTGTTATTGAGGGACACAGAATTGTTACTGAGGGCCACAAATCGTTACTTAGGGCCACAGAAACGTTACTTAGGGCCACAGAATTGTTACTTAGGGACAGACACAGAATTGTTACTTAGGGACACAGATTTGTTACTGAGGGCCACAGAAACGTTACTTAGGGCCACAGAAACGTTACTTAGGGCCACAGAATCGTTACTTAGGGCCACAGAAACGTTACTTAGGGCCACAGAAACGTTACTTAGGGCCACAGAATTGTTACTTAGGGACAGACACAGAATTGTTACTGAGGGACACAGAATTTTTACTGAGGGCCACAGAAACGTTACTTAGGGCCACAGAAACGTTACTTAGGGCCACAGAATTGTTACTTAGGGCCACAGAAACGTTACTTACTTAGGGCCACAGAATTGTTACTTAGGGACAGACACAGAATTGTTATTGAGGGGACACAGAATTGTTACTGAGGGACACAGAACCGTTACTTAGGGCCACAGAAACGTTACTTAGGGCCACAGAATTGTTACTTAGGGACCTTAGACACAGAATTGTTACTGAGGGACACAGAATTTGTTACTGAGGGCACAGAAAACGTTACTTTAGGGCCACAGAAAACGTTACTTAGGGCCACAGAATCGTTACTTAGGGCCACAGAAACATTACTTAGGGCCACAGAAACGTTACTTAGGGCCACAGAATTGTTACTTAGGGACAGACACAGAATTGTTACTGAGGGACACAGAATTGTTACTGAGGGCCACAGAAACGTTACTTAGGGCCACAGAAACGTTACTTAGGGCCACAGAATCGTTACTTAGGGCCACAGAAACGTTACTTAGGGCCACAGAAACGTTACTTAGGGCCACAGAATTGTTACTTAGGGGACAGACAGAATTGTTACACAGAATTGTTACTGAGGGACACAGAATTGTTACTTAGGGCCACAGAAAAGGTTACTTAGGGCCACAGAAAACGTTACTTAGGGCCACAGAATCGTTACTTAGGGCAACACAGAAATTGTTACTTAGGGCCACAGAATTGTTACTTAGGGACACAGAATTGTTACTTAGGGAGGGCACAGAATTGTTACTGAGGGCCACAGAATTGTTACTTAGGGCCACAGAAACGTTACTTAGGGCCACAGAATTGTTACTTAGGGCACAGAACAGAATTGTTACTTAGGGCCACAGAATTGTTACTTAGGGCCACAGAAACGTTACTTAGGGACACAGAAAAACGTTACTTAGGGGGACACAGAAACGTTACTTAGGGCCACACAGAATTTTACTTAGGGCCACAGAATTGTTACTTAGGGACAGACACAGAATTGTTACTGAGGGACACAGAATTGTTACTGAGGGCCACAGAACCGTTACTTAGGGCCACAGAAACGTTACTTAGGGCCACAGAATTGTTACTCAGGGACAGACACAGAATTGTTACTGAGGGACACAGAATTGTTACTGAGGGACACAGAATTGTTACTTAGGGCCACAGAACCGTTACTTTAGGGCCACAGAATTTTACTTAGGGACAGAAGAATTGTTACTTAGGGCCACAGAATTGTTACTTAGGGCCACAGAATTGTTACTTAGGGCCACAGAAACGTTACTTAGGGCCACAGAAATGTTACTTAGGGCCACAGAAACGTGTACTTAGGGCCACAGAATTGTTACTCAGGGACAGACACAGAATTGTTACTCAGGGACAGACACAGAATTGTTACTCAGGGACACAGAATTGTTACTGAGGGACACAGAATTGTTACTGAGGGACACAGAATTGTTACTGAGGGACACAGAATTGTTACTCAGGGAATTGTTACTGAGGGACACAGAATTGTTACTCAGGGACAGACACAGAATTGTTACTGAGGGACACAGAATTGTTACTGAGGGACCACAGAATTGTTACTGAGGGCCACAGAATGTTACTTAGGGCCACAGAAACGTTACTCAGGGACAAGAATTGTTACTCAGGGACAGACACAGAATTGTTACTCAGGGACACAGAATTGTTACTCAGGGACACAGAATTGTTACTGAGGGACACAGAATTGTTACTGAGGGACACAGAATTGTTACTGAGGGACACAGAATTGTTACTGAGGGCCACAGAACTGTTACTTAGGGCCACAGAAACGTTACTCAGGGACACAGAAATTGTTAATCAGGGACAGACACAGAATTGTTACTCAGGGACAGACACAGAATTGTTACTGAGGGACACAGAATTGTTACTGGGGACAGGTTACACACAGAATTGTTACTGAGGGACACAGAATTGTTACTGAGGGACACAGAATTGTTACTGAGGGACACAGAATTGTTACTCAGGGACAGACACAGAATTGTTACTGAGGGACACAGAATTGTTACTGAGGGACACAGAATTGTTACTGAGGGGGACCACAGAATTGTTACTGAGGGCCACAGAAACGTTACTCAGGGACACAGAATTGTTACTCAGGGACACAGACACAGAATTGTTACTCAGGGACACAGAATCGTTGAATTAAAGAGTATGTCAGACAACATGCAGAGGAGTGGCAGAGGAGGAGGCAATGTTTTAGGAGCGAGCAGACGTGGCAGCAGAGGAAGGGGGTCGTCGAGGCCCAGCACTATTCGCAGCCAGAGGCCAGTGCTCCCGGGTGTCATCAGGAGTACAGTGAGGAAGAGCTAACAGAGGGCGGTCAGGAACGGGGGGAGACATCCGCCTCTTCAGCAGCCAGGCGAAGAAGTAGTGGCGAGGAGAGTGGCTCGGTAGCCGGTCTAGAGACAGGTCTGTCTCCTGACCCACACGCAGCCGAGGGGGCTAGTAGTGAGGCGGAGACCCTAATTGATGATGATGAGGCTGATCGCACTTGGCAGCCTTGTCGTCATCAGGCTATTGCTTCCGCATCATCAGGAGAAGAGGGTGGCAGCTTGGCAGCGAGCAAAACAGTCGGTGGGTTGTCTCCATCGCCACACTCTGCCATGTGCCACTTTTCAGGTCTCCTCACACACTGCTGCTGGTGTGTTCCATTTTTTGTCATAGGGTGCTGGCAGATTACGGGCCTCCCATAGCTGCTGCCAGGCCCCTAATCTGCCATGGGCCCCTGTACCGCCTCCTCATGCTGCTGCCAGGTCCACAGTGTCTCATGCCATGTGCCACATTTCAGGTCTCCTCACACTGCTGGTGTTTCAGTCCTCCATTTTTTGTGACATAGGGTGCTGGCAGATTACGGGGGGCCTCCCATAGCTGCTGCCAGGGCCCTAATCTGCCATGGGCCCCTATATACCTCCCTCCTCATGCTGCTGCCAGGTCCAGAGTCTCTCATGGGTCCCTGTACGGCCTCCCATTGCTGCTGTCTCCATCGCCACACTCTGCCATGTGCCACTTTCAGGTCTCCTCACACACTGCTGGTGTGTTTTTTTTTTGTCATAGGGTGCTGGCAGATTACGGGCCTCCCATAGCTGCTGCCAGGCCCCTAATCTGCCATGGGCCCCTGTACCGCCTCCTCATGCTGCTCCAGGTCCACAGTGTCTCATGCCATTGCTGTGCCACTTTCAGGTCTCCTCACACTGCTGGTGTTTCATTTTTTGTCATAGGGTGCTGGCAGATTACGGGCCTCCCATAGCTGCTGCCAGGCCCCTAATCTGCCATGGGCCCCTATACCGCCTCCTCATGCTGCTGCCAGGTCCAGAGTCTCTCATGGGTCCCTGTACGGCCCCATTGCTGCTGTCTCCATCGCCACACTCTGCCATGTGCCACTTTCAGGTCTCCTCACACTGCTGGTGTGTTCAATTTTTTGTCATAGGGTGCTGGCAGATTACGGGCCTCCCATAGCTGCTGCTGCCAGGGGCCCCTAATCTGCCTGGGCCCCTGTACCGCCTCCTCATGCTGCTGCCAGGTCCACAGTGTCTCATGCCATGTGCCACTTTCAGGTCTCCTCACACTGCTGGTGTGTTCAATTTTTTGTCATAGGGTGCTGGCAGATTACGGGCCTCCCATAGCTGCTGCCAGGCCCCTAATCTGCCATGGGCCCCTGTACCGCCTCCTCATGCTGCTGCCAGGTCCAGAGTCCAGGGTCCACAGTGTCTCATGCCATGTGCCACTTTCAGGTCTCCTCACACTGCTGGTGTGTTCCATTTTTTGTCATAGGGTGCTGGCAGATTACGGGCCTCCCATAGCTGCTGCCAGGCCCCTAATCTGCCATGGGCCCCTATACCGCCTCCTCATGCTGCTGCCAGGTCCAGAGTCTCTCATGGGTCCCTGTACGGCCTCCCATTGCTGCTGTCTCCATCGCCACACTCTGCCATGTGCCACTTTCAGGTCTCCTCACACACTGCTGGTGTGTTCCATTTTTTGTCATAGGGTGCTGGCAGATTACGGGCCTCCCATAGCTGCTGCCAGGCCCCTAATCTGCCATGGGCCCCTGTACCGCCTCCTCATGCTGCTGCCATGCTGCTGCCAGGTCCACAGTGTCTCCATCGCCACACTCTGCCATGTGCCACTTTCAGGTCTCCTCACACTGCTGGTGTGTTCAATTTTTTGTCATAGGGTGCTGGCAGATTACGGGCCTCCCATAGCTGCTGCCAGGCCCCTAATCTGCCATGGGCCCCTGTACCGCCTCCTCATGCTGCTGCTGCTCATGGGTCCAGGTCCACAGTGTCTCCATCGCCACACTCTGCCATGTGCCACTTTCAGGTCTCCTCACACTGCTGGTGTGTTCCATTTTTTGTCATAGGGTGCTGGCAGATTACGGGCCTCCCATAGCTGCTGCCAGGCCCCTAATCTGCCATGGGCCCCTATACCGCCTCCTCATGCTGCTGCCAAGTCCAGAGTCTCTCATGGGTCCCTGTACGGCCTCCCATTGCTGCTGTCTCCATCGCCACACTCTGCCATGTGCCACTTTCAGGTCTCCTCACACACTGCTGGTGTGTTCAATTTTTTGTCATAGGGTGCTGGCAGATTACGGGCCTCCCATAGCTGCTGCCAGGCCCCTAATCTGCCATGGGCCCCTGTACCGCCCTCATGCTGCTGCCAGGTCAGCTGCTGGGTCCAGGTCCCATTGCTGCAGTGTCTCATGCCATGTGCCACTTTCAGGTCTCCTCACACTGCTGGTGTGTTCCATTTTTTGTCATAGGGTGCTGGCAGATTACGGGCCTCCCATAGCTGCTGCCAGGCCCCTAATCTGCCATGGGCCCCTATACCGCCTCCTCATGCTGCTGCCAAGTCCAGAGTCTCTCATGGGTCCCTGTACGGCCTCCCATTGCTGCTGTCTCCATCGCCACACTCTGCCATGTGCCACTTTCAGGTCTCCTCACACTGCTGGTGTGTTCAATTTTTTGTCATAGGGTGCTGGCAGATTACGGGCCTCCCATAGCTGCTGCCAGGCCCCTAATCTGCCATGGGCCCCTATACCGCCTCCTCATGCTGCTGCCAGGTCCAGAGTCTCTCATGGGTCCCTGTACGGCCTCCCATTGCTGCTGTCTCCATCGCCACACTCTGCCATGTGCCACTTTCAGGTCTCCTCACACACTGCTGGTGTGTTCCATTTTTTGTCATAGGGTGCTGGCAGATTACGGGCCTCCCATAGCTGCTGCCAGGCCCCTAATCTGCCATGGGCCCCTGTACCGCCTCCTCATGCTGCTGCTGCCAGGTCCACAGTGTGCTGTCTCATGCCATGTGCCACTTTCAGGTCTCCTCACACTGCTGGTGTGTTCCATTTTTTTGTCATAGGGTGCTGGCAGATTACGGGCCTCCCATAGCTGCTGCCAGGCCCCTAATCTGCCATGGGCCCCTATACCGCCTCCTCATGCTGCTGCCAGGTCCAGAGTCTCTCATGGGTCCCTGTACGGCCTCCCATTGCTGCTGTCTCCATCGCCACACTCTGCCATGTGCCACTTTCAGGTCTCCTCACACTGCTGGTGTGTTCAATTTTTTGTCATAGGGTGCTGGCAGATTACGGGCCTCCCATAGCTGCTGCCAGGCCCCTAATCTGCCATGGGCCCCTGTACCGCCTCCTCATGCTGCTGCCAGGTCCACAGTGTCTCATGCCATCCCATTGTGCCACTTTCAGGTCAGGTCTCCTCACACTGCTGGTGTGTTCCATTTTTTGTCATAGGGTGCTGGCAGATTACGGGCCTCCTATAGCTGCTGCCAGGCCCCTAATCTGCCATGGGCCCCTATACCGCCTCCTCATGCTGCTGCTGCCAAGTCCAGAGTCTCTCATGGGTCCCTGTACGGCGTCCCATTGCTGCTGTCTCCATCGCCACACTCTGCCATGTGCCACTTTCAGGTCTCCTCACACTGCTGGTGTGTTCAATTTTTTGTCATAGGGTGCTGGCAGATTACGGGCCTCCCATAGCTGCTGCCAGGCCCCTAAATCTGCCATGGGCCCCTGTACCGCCTCCTCATGCTGCTGCCAGGTCCACAGTGTCATGGGTCCCTGTCATGGCCTCCCATGTGCTGTCTCCATCGCCACACTTTGTGCACTTTCAGGTCTCCTCACACTGCTGGTGTGTTTCATTTTTTGTCATAGGGTGCTGGCAGATTACGGGCCTCCCATAGCTGCTGCCAGGCCCCTAATCTGCCATGGGCCCCTATACCGCCTCCTCATGCTGCTGCCAGGTCCAGAGTCTCTCATGGGTCCCTGTACGGCCTCCCATTGCTGCTGTCTCCATCGCCACACTCTGCCATGTGCCACTTTCAGGTCTCCTCACACACTGCTGGTGTGTTCAATTTTTTGTCATAGGGTGCTGGCAGATTACGGGCCTCCCATAGCTGCTGCCAGGCCCCTAATCTGCCATGGGCCCCTGTACCGCCTCCTCATGCTGCTGCCAGGTCCAGAGTCTCTCATGGGTCCCACGGCCTGCCATGTGCCATCGCCACACTTCAGCCATGTGCCACTTTCAGGTCTCCTCACACACTGCTGGTGTGTTCCATTTTTTGTCATAGGGTGCTGGCAGATTACGGGCCTCCCATATAGCTGCTGCCAGGCCCCTAATCTGCCATGGGCCCCTATACCGCCTCCTCATGCTGCTGCCAGGTCCAGAGTCTCTCATGGGTCCCTGTACGGCCTCCCATTGCTGCTGTCTCCATCGCCACACTCTGCCATGTGCCACTTTCAGGTCTCCTCACACACTGCTGGTGTGTTCAATTTTTTGTCATAGGGTGCTGGCAGATTACGGGCCTCCCATAGCTGCTGCCAGGCCCCTAATCTGCCATGGGCCCCTGTACCGCCTCCTCATGCTGCTGCCAGGTCCACAGTGTCTCATGCCATGTGCCACTTTCAGGTCTCCTCACACTGCTGGTGTGTTCAATTTTTTGACATTTTTGTGGGTGCTGGCAGATTACGGGCCTCCCATAGCTGCTGCCAGGCCCCTAATCTGCCATGGGCCCCTATACCGCCTCCTCATGCTGCTGCCAGGTCCAGAGTCTCTCATGGGTCCCTGTACGGCCTCCCATTGCTGCTGTCTCCATCGCCACACTCTGCCATGTGCCACTTTCAGGTCTCCTCACACACTGCTGGTGTGTTCAATTTTTTGTCATAGGGTGCTGGCAGATTACGGGCCTCCCATAGCTGCTGCCAGGCCCCTAATCTGCCATGGGCCCCTATACCGCCTCCTCATCATGCTGCTGCAGGTCCAGAGTCTCTCATGGGTCCCTGTACGGCCTCCCATTGCTGCTGTCTCCATCGCCACACACTGCTGCCATCCCACTGCTTTCCATCACTTTCAGGTCTCCTCACACTGCTGGTGTGTTCAATTTTTTGTCATAGGGTGCTGGCAGATTACGGGCCTCCCATAGCTGCTGCCAGGCCCCTAATCTGCCATGGGCCCCTATACCGCCTCCATGCTGCTGCCAGGTCCAGAGTCTCTCATGGGTCCCTGTACGGCCTCCCATTGCTGCTGTCTCCATCGCCACACTCTGCCATGTGCCACTTTCAGGTCTCCTCACACTGCTGGTGTGTTCCATTTTTGTCATAGGGTGCTGGCAGATTACGGGCCTCCCATAGCTGCTGCCAGGCCCCTAATCTGCCATGGGCCCCCGTACCGATCCTCATGCTGCTGCCAGCCACAGTGTCAAGGTGCCATTCAACGGCTCCATATGTTAGACTGTCCCATTACGCCACATACTCTGCTGCAGCGCCACTTTCAGGTCCCTCACACACATGGTGTGTTCCATTTTTTGTCATAGGGGTGCTGGCAGGTTACTCCCTGTGTACTTTAGCTGCTGCCAGGCCAGCCAGCTGCATATGCTGCCAGGCCCCTAATCTGCCATGGGCCCCTGTACCGCTCCTCATGCTGCTGCCAGGTCCAGAGTCTCTTGGGTCCCTGTACCACCCATTGCTGCTGTCCAGGTCCGTGCCATGTGCCACTTTCAGGTCTCCTCACACTGCTGGTGTGTTCAATTTTTTGTCATAGGGTGCTGGCAGATTACGGGCCTCCCATAGCTGCTGCCAGGCCCCTAATCTGCCATGGGCCCCTATACCGCCTCCTCATGCTGCTGCCAGGTCCAGAGTCTCTCATGGGTCCCTGTACGGTACGGCCTCCCATTGCTGCTGTCTCCATCGCCACACTCTGCCATGTGCCACTTTCAGGTCTCCTCACACTGCTGGTGTGTTCCATTTTTTGTCATAGGGTGCTGGCAGATTACGGGCCTCCCATAGCTGCTGCCAGGCCCCTAATCTGCCATGGGCCCCTGTACCGCCTCCTCATGCTGCTGCCAGGTCCACAGTGTCTCATGCCATGTGTGCCACTTTCAGGTCTCCTCACACTGCTGTGTGTGTTCCATTTTTTGTCATAGGGTGCTGGCAGATTACGGGCCTCCCATAGCTGCTGCCAGGCCCCTAATCTGCCATGGGCCCCTATACCGCCTCCTCATGCTGCTGCCAGGTCCAGAGTCTCTCATGGGTCCCTGTACGGCCTCCCATTGCTGCTGTCTCCATCGCCACACTCTGCCATGTGCCACTTTCAGGTCTCCTCACACTGCTGGTGTGTTCCATTTTTTGTCATAGGGTGCTGGCAGATTACGGGCCTCCCATAGCTGCTGCCAGGCCCCTAATCTGCCATGGGCCCCTACCGCCGCCTCCTCATGCTGCTGCCAGTACGTCCACAGTGTCTCATGCCATGCCATGTGCACTTTCAGGTCTCCTCACACTGCTGGTGTGTTCCATTTTTTGTCATAGGGTGCTGGCAGATTACGGGCCTCCCATAGCTGCTGCCAGGCCCCTAATCTGCCATGGGCCCCTATACCGCCTCCTCATGCTGCTGCCAGGTCCAGAGTCTCTCATGGGTCCCTGTACGGCGTCCCATTGCTGCTGTCTCCATCGCCACACTCTGCCATGTGCCACTTTCAGGTCTCCTCACACTGCTGGTGTGTGTTTTTTTTTTGTTCATTTTTTGTCATAGGGTGCTGGCAGATTACGGGCCTCCCATAGCTGCTGCCAGGCCCCTAATCTGCCATGGGCCCCCTGTACCGCCTCCTCATGCTGCTGCCAGGTCCAGAGTGTCTCATGGGTCCCTGTACGGCGCCCCATTGCTGCTGTCTCAGGTCCCACACACTGCCATGTGCCACTTTCAGGTCTCCTCACACACTGCTGGTGTGTTCATTTTTTGTCATAGGGTGCTGGCAGATTACGGGCCTCCCATAGCTGCTGCCAGGCCCCTAATCTGCCATGGGCCCCTATACCGCCTCCTCATGCTGCTGCCAGGTCCAGAGTCTCTCATGGGTCCCTGTACGGGCCTCCCATTGCTGCTGTCTCCATCGCCACACTCTGCCATGTGCCACTTTCAGGTCTCCTCACACACTGCTGGTGTGTTCATTTTTTTTTTTTGTCATAGGTGCTGGCAGATTACGGGCCTCCCATAGCTGCTGCCAGGCCCCTAATCTGCCATGGGCCCCTGTACCGCTCCTCATGCTGCTGCCAGGTCCAGAGTCTCTCATGGGTCCACGGCCTGTGCTGTCTCCATGCCACACTCTGCCATGTGCCACTTTCAGGTCCTCACACACTGCTGGTGTGTTCCATTTTTTGTCATAGGGTGCTGGCAGATTACGGGCCTCCCATAGCTGCTGCCAGGCCCCCCTAATCTGCCATGGGCCCCTATACCGCCTCCTCATGCTGCTGCCAGGTCCAGAGTCTCTCATGGGTCCCTGTACGGCCTCCCATTGCTGCTGTCTCCATCGCCACACTCTGCCATGTGCCACTTTCAGGTCTCCTCACACACTGCTGGTGTGTTCAATTTTTTGTCATAGGGTGCTGGCAGATTACGGGCCTCCCATAGCTGCTGCCAGGCCCCTAATCTGCCATGGGCCCCTGTACCGCCTCCTCATGCTGCTGCCAGGTCCTCATGGGTCAGTGTCCCATTGCTGCCCACTCTGCCATGTGCCACTTTCAGGTCTCTGTCCCTCACACTGCTGGTGTGTTCAATTTTTTGTCATAGGGTGCTGGCAGATTACGGGCCTCCCATAGCTGCTGCCAGGCCCCTAATCTGCCATGGGCCCCTATACCGCCTCCTCATGCTGCTGCCAGGTCCAGAGTCTCTCATGGGTCCCTGTACGGTCTCCCATTGCTGCTGTCTCTCCATCGCCACACTCTGCCATGTGCCACTTTCAGGTCTCCTCACACTGCTGGTGTGTTCCATTTTTTGTCATAGGGTGCTGGCAGATTACGGGCCTCCCATAGCTGCTGCCAGGCCCCTAATCTGCCATGGGCCCCTATACCGCCTCCTCATGCTGCTGCCAGGTCCAGAGTCTCTCATGGGTCCCTGTACGGCCTCCCATTGCTGCTGTCTCCATCGCCACACTCTGCCATGTGCCACTTTCAGGTCTCCTCACACTGCTGGTGTGTTCCATTTTTTGTGGGTGCTGGCAGATTTTTTGTGCATAGGGTGCTGGCAGATTACGGGCCTCCCATAGCTGCTGCCAGGTCCATAATCTGCCATGGGCCCCTGTACCGCCTCCATGCTGCTGTCTCCAGGTCCACAGTGTCTCATGCCATGTGCCACTTTCAGGTCTCCTCACACTGCTGGTGTGTTCCATTTTTTGTCATAGGGTGCTGGCAGATTACGGGCCTCCCATAGCTGCTGCCAGGCCCCTAATCTGCCATGGGCCCCTATACCGCCTCCTCATGCTGCTGCCAGGTCCAGAGTCTCTCATGGGTCCCTGTACGGCCTCCCATTGCTGCTGTCTCCATCGCCACACTCTGCCATGTGCCACTTTCAGGTCTCCTCACACACTGCTGGTGTGTTACATTTTTTGTCATAGGGTGCTGGCAGATTACGGGCCTCCCATTGCTGCTGCCAGGCCCTAATCTGCCATGGGCCCCCGTACCGACTCCTCATGCTGTGACGTTGCAACAAGGTGGAATTCAACCCTACATATGTAGACCGCCTCTTTACGAACAGCGAAAGGCCATCACAGATTTCCTGATGTTAAAAGCGGATAAAGGTACTCCCTGTGTAACTTAGATGTCAGCCATTGGCAGCTCATGCGTGACACCTGCGCTTGCTCAGGCCCTTTGAGGAGGCCACGCTATTCGTGAGTCGGCAGGACTATGGGTATGAACGACGTCATTCCTCTGTTGCACGTCCTGGAACAAATGCTGTTAACAATGGCTGGTCAGGGTGCGGTAGACGTGGCGCACAGATCTCAACGCCACATGACCCCTGTGGGGGCAGGACAGGAAGAAGAGGTGGAGGAGGTAGAGGAGGACATTGGTGCTCAGGAATTATTGAGTGAAATGGGTGGTTTTTCCACTCAGCGGACAGGAGTGGAGGAGCAGGAGCATCTGGTAGAGGAGGAGGAGGAGGAGACAGAGGACCCAGACGCACCGTGGCAGTATGCTGTGGAGATGGAGGCAGGGAGTCCCTCGCATTCCTTGGCTGTACGGCACAAATGGCCCATAGCATGCTCGCTTGCTTGCGTAGCGACAGCCGAATAATAACCATCAGACAGAGGGATGACTTTTGGCTGTCCACCTTGTTGGACCCTCGCTACCGTTCAAAAATGGTGGCCTTTTTCACACCTGCTGAGAGGGAGGCCAAAATAACGTACTATAAAAACCACCTATGTAGTCAGCTGGTCTCTGCCTTTCTGCGCCAACGTCCATCCTCAGACACTGTGGGCCCTGTGCGCTCGCGTTCCGCTGCCATGGCAGCAGGGGAGGGGTGGGGTGGTAGGAGCAGTGGCAGCTCCACCAGCAGCAGGCTGCCTCAGTCTGCAGTCGATGATGAGTAGCTTTCTTCACCAGCGCAGTGAGGAAACTACTAACCAGCCGCAGCAGCAGCAGCATCAGGTGGACCTGGAGCAGGACCTCAAACAACAGGCTTAGGCCTACTTGGACAGCACCCTGCCAACCGAGGTAGACAATCCCCTTGACTACTGGGCAACGAAACTTGACCTTTGGCCCCAACTAGCTGAATTTGCCCTTGAAAGGCTGTCATGCCCGGCCAGTAGCGTGGCATCGGAGCGCGTGTTTAGTGCGGCAGGAGGTATTGTAACTCCGCGGAGGACACGACTGTCCACCCAAAGTGTGGAGAGACTCACGTTTGTGAAAATGAATCAGGCGTGGATTAGTCTGGATTTCAAACCACCAGTTCCTGACACAACTGACTAAATCCGCCATGAATCATGCCCCAAACATGTGCCACTTTCAGGTCTCCTCACACTGCTGGTGTGTTCCATTTTTTGTCATAGGGTGCTGGCAGATTACGGGCCTCCTATAGCTGCTGCCAGGCCCCTAATCTGCCATGGGCCCCTGTACCGCCTCCTCATGCTGCTGCCAGGTCCAGAGTGTCTCATGGGTCCCTGTACGGCCTCCCATTGCTGCTGTCTCCATCGCCACACTCTGCCATGTGCCACTTTCAGATCTCCTCACACTGCTGTGTTCCATTTTTTGTCATAGGGTGCTGGCAGATTACGGGCCTCCTATAGCTGCTGCCAGGCCCCTAATCTGCCATGGGCCCCTATACCGCCTCCTCATGCTGCTGCCAAGTCCAGAGTCTCTCATGGGTCCCTGTACGGCCTCCCATTGCTGCTGTCTCCATCGCCACACTCTGCCATGTGCCACTTTCAGGTCTCCTCACACTGCTGGTGTGTTCCATTTTTTGACATAGGGTGCTGGCAGATTACGGGCCTCCCATAGCTGCTGCCAGGCCCCTAATCTGCCATGGGCCCCTATACCGCCTCCTCATGCTGCTGCCAGGTCCAGAGTCTCTCATGGGTCCCTGTACGGCCTCCCATTGCTGCTGTCTCCATCGCCACACTCTGCCATGTGCCACTTTCAGGTCTCCTCACACTGCTGGTGTGTTCCATTTTTTGTCATAGGGTGCTGGCAGATTACGGGCCTCCCATAGCTGCTGCCAGGCCCCTAATCTGCCATGGGCCCCCGTACCGACTCCTCATGCTGCTGCCAGGCCCGTAATCTGTCATGGGCCCCTTTTGTCGCTTGTTGGCATATTCCGCTCAATCAGATGCTCCTTCTCCTGCTACTCCTCTTCACGGATTCCGTCAGCAGTCTTTCTTGGAATCCGTTTCCAAGAGACAACAGTTTGCGAGCACGCACCCGACGGTGCAGAAGCTGAATGTCCTCCTGTCCAAGTTGCTGCTGCCAGGCTCGTAATCTGTCATGCGCCCCTGTACCGCCTCCTCATGCTGCTGCCAGGTCCAGAGTGTGTCATGGGCCCCCGTACCGACTCCTCATGCTGCTGCCAGGCCCGTAATCTGTCATGGGCCCCTGTACCGCCTCCTCATGCTGCTGCCAGGTCCAGAGTGTGTCATGGGTCCCTGTACGGCCTCCCATTGCTGCTGTCTCCATCGCCACACTCTGCCATGTGCCACTTTCAGGTCTCCTCACACTGCTGGTGGTTTCCATTTTTGTCATAGGGTGCTGTATGGCCTCCCATTGCTGCTGCCTCCACCGCCACACTGTGGCTCCACACTCTGGTTTTGGCCCCGTGACTGCCCAAATGAGTGAAGTGTGCGGTGATTCTAAGATCGACGGCACTCATCTGCATGTCATACTGACTGTCAGTATTATTTCTCTTCCCCAGCAGACTCCAAGGGCATTTAAATTAAAGGTACAGTGTTCTGCACTAATATAAAGGCTCTCTGAAGCCTAGAAACACCCTTTTATAAGTTAAATTTGCAGCGAATATATTCGACTCGAATCAAAATTTTTCCACGAATTCGCCGAATCAGTCGAATCGAATTTTTGATTACTTCGCTCATCTCTATTTATAATCTGTGACTTTGTACCTTCTCTGACTTACGATACTATGTTTGCCAATATATTTTTGCTTGAAAAAGAAAACATTGTGTCCTGAAGTGTTGGAGCTTTGACTGTCAAAATTGATTTTTAAAGCTGATTTAGGTTGGTGAATGCATTTGTATACCAGCAGCAGTTAGTTCTGTTATTTACAAATAGAGACTACTTAAACACCAGCCTGTCTCATTAGCCTAATATAGCCTGATATAGGAAGTTTCAGTTTTTGCAAATTTTGTGCAGCTTGAAACAATATGGTTTGAGTGTTTATTAGTAGGGATGTTTCTTGAGAGGCTTACTCTGACATTTATGCCATTTAAAATGTTTTCCAAAGGGATAGAGTTAAATCAATCCCCAAGTTTCTTTCCAGGTAGAAGTAAAATATGAGTTTTATGAAGTGGAATAAGAGAACACTGCGTCTATTAGATACAGCCCCATTTCAAGT